TCTGGCCTGAGGGCCAGGCACACGATTACCTTCACCCTCTACACCAAGTCTTGGATAAACGCATGCAGGTTGTGGCCTTCTCAGGGCTCACAGTCAAAACCAAGTCAGGCTGAGTCAGTACTTCCGTGGAAGAACCGAGGGCTTTTGCCATCAGTAAGGCTAGGAACAGATGCTGCATTCATCCCTGGATATAAATGATGCCTGTGTTTGTCCCAGGACAAAAGGATCCCTAGGGTTGGTGTATGCACACGTTGCCCTTCTCATCAGGGTGGAGTGAGTGGCTGACTGCAGTGCCTATCGTCTGCCTTTGATTCAATCCAAGGATAAAAATGCAGATTAATTTTTTCAGTATCCTGGGATAAATGTTACTACCTCTTATCTAGGAACTTTTTAATGATTTATCCTGGGACAATGGATATGGACCTCTGTATGATTGCGCTTTGCTCTGGAATAAAATGGTTTATCCTGGGATAAATGTGACATCTTTCTGCATCCTAAGCACCTCTGTGCCTTCTGGGTCTGTCTCCCAGAGTAGTGTTGGAGGCATTGTGCCCACGAGACCCAGAAGAAGGGGGGTGATAATTTTTGGCCATTGAAGATCCATGAAATTTCCTGAAAGAGCAACAAAATTGCAGGCCTATGCAAATTCTAATCTGGGTGCTTTAGATACAGTCTCCCTGTCTGCACTCCCCCTAATTGGATTTGTTGTTCACATCAGTTATATACAGTACTGCCGAGTGCAATTTAAAAGCAGCTGCTGCTGCGTTACACTCCAGAGGTCGCTGTGTGTCAGTAGCATGTGAACTGGTTCCTTTGCAGGGATGAGCACATAGTGGATCATGTGCAATGCATAATATTTTGCAATGCATAATATTTAGGAGGCTCCAAGGGCACGGACTAAATGATCGCCTGAGGTGCCAGAACTCCTGAGAATGTGGCACGCTGCCCAAAGCCGAAGGCCGAGGGCTACATGCACAACAGAAGTTGCTATTTTTACCAGAGGGCAGGCTTTAAATAGACCGTGCCTGCCTTTGGAGATTATCTGTGTCACAATTTTGCTGCCAGCTAGGTCCTGACACCCCCGTGGCTTCGTGCAGGGCACCATGCTCAGTTTCCGCACCCTGGCCATCACCCTAATTATATGGTGACCCCTGTGATGCACTGGGATTACCTTTGCAAGTCTGCCTTGTCTCTGTTGTTTCGGGGACCGTGACCAGCCAGTGGTCTAAAAGCACAGTGCTACTTATCTTAGCATAGACATGCCTCCGAGAAAACATCACAAAGCAATGCTTATTATCTACACACTTGCTAACTGGGCATTACCCATCAGCCACACGGGATCCTGGAAAGCACAGACAAGTCCATCAGTTCTTTGCTCCTCTCTGATGCCCTCTCCCAGGCTCCCATCCATTTTTGGATCAAGAGAGACCTTGATCCGGCTGGCCGTTTTATACTTTCTTTTGTCCTTGGCTTGGTTGCCTTCCTCCGCTAGGTCTAACCGACATGTGCAGTTGTCCCCAGGTGGCGGGAAAGTGGGGCTTCCCTAGACTTGTCTACCTGCCCAAGAATTTGGATGAATCAGCGCCGCCCCCTGCCCCGCAGCATTTCCAGGGAGTCAAAGATAGAGAATGCCGACAGCATTGAGCATCCCAGGCGTTTGTGGAGTCTGAAACATCTCCCTTAATAGTCCCCAAAGTCCCATGCGACCAGCAACCCACATCTGCTTTACTGGACTTTTGGAGTCCATCCCTCAGATACTCTCCAGCTTACCTCTGAGTCTTCCTGCCTGGGGAAGCTGCAGGGGCCTTTGGAGAAGGGGTACCCTCCGGTCCCTTCTGACCTTTCCCAGCACCTTCTTTTCAGGGCTAGCTTCCTTTCAGCGATCCTCTCTTTAGCTGCAGGTTCTGGCTTCCTCTGCTGGTATCCAGTGCCCTAGTGATGAAGGATGGCCAGAACTGACACATTTCACGACACATTCATGAAATAGCTTCTCCTATAATCTGTCTGGCTCGTAGGGGATATACCGTAATGTGAGGGGGTGGGTGGTTTCATTGGCACCCGCTTTGTACCACCTACCTAACAGGCTGGTGGCACCAGCGCTGGGATAGTGCCATCCCAACTCAGGCTAATCCCACAGGCTACCCTCATATTTGATACGGTACCAAGGGGAGAGTCTCGTTTCAGCCACACAAGGAATGAAGGGACGCTGTTGAGGCGTATTGGGTTTGCGGCTGTATTAGAACCGGATCAGAGGCAAATCTCCCTTTGATTTCTATGCTGCAACATCAGGCCTTCAGTGAAGTTGGAATCAAGGCGTCTAATTGTCTGCCTCCCTGGCATGAGGGATACCACAGAAGTGTAGCTGCTACACCCCAGTTGGAGCAAAATAATTAAGTGTGTGGTCATCTTTAACAGCAGGCCTGAGCTGATCCCTATTCATTCACTAAGAGCATTTGAGCACATTTAATTCCCATTGAAATCAAAGAGACATAAGCATATGCTTAAAATTCAGCATGGGTTTACATGCATCTGCAGAGATCATTTTGTTATGGATACACGATAGGAGAAATTGTGGGAAACAAAACCGTTTCTTTCCACACAGCAGGCTAGCATTTTACCCGATCTCTGCAAAATATACTACATTGTAAGAAAAATTATATTCAATAGAACTAAATGAGCTCTTAATGACTTGCAGTAGCCTGGCATTGACTTGTTGAAGCAGGACACTGTTTGGAAAAGCAATTTGCTGTTACCAAAAACTGCTGCTTTATGGAACAGCTTGTTTCAGAGGCTGGAAAGGGAGCGATGACTCCATGGTGTGCGGGAGTGAATAGTGGAATTGAAGGTAGGTGCTCCCCTGGGTAAAAATTAGTTTAGGTGACATCATGGCAGGTCTTCCTCTAGGGAGATCAACGTAACAATGACCTGTAAATGGGCAGACTCTAAAAATCGTGATGTCAGTGGAATATTAGCTACAGCAACAACTGCAGTTAGTAGAAATTGAATTGAAGAAAGCAACAACGTTTGGAGGCAAGATTAGAAAGGCAGTAAGAAGGGCAATAAGGTGGAAGACTGGTGGGACTTTCTTATGATGCAAAATTAAAAACAACCCACCTCTGTGTGACATTTAGCCCAAGGCAGTAGGAGTTAGAAAAGATGTGAATGAGTTCTTCAAAGCGCGACAAGAAATAGGCTGGCCTTTTGTTACTCTTTGCTTCATTTCCAGGGACATCTGTGCAGGGGGTTGGACTAGCTGACCCATGAGATCCCTTGCAACCCCTAAATGATCAATGAAGTCCCTTTAAGAGAGGGACCGCTCACATTAATGGCCAGGATATTAAGAACCAATAACAGAAAAATTTTATTGGATTTGGTGCACTCTGCAGGTAACAGCTGCAGGATAAAAAGAAAGAGATTCAAGTGGCTAAATTAATATAATTAATAATAATCGAAAGAATGTAATAGTAACTAATATCTTGTAGTAATACAAGCGGTGGCCAAGTCAAATGTTTCTAGTTTTGGTTTTTGAAACTGAAATGTTTGACTGAGGACCAAATGATTTTACTAGCAGCGGTTTAGTAGACACAAGAGGAGTCCATTTTAATTTTGCCTGGCAAAAGCAAAAATGTGGAAAAATCTGAAAATATAATTTAAAAGATTCCCCCAAAATATTTGGAAAGTTGGCTACTTCTAACCATTTTAACCTGATTACAACGCCTTCCCTCAAGTTGCTAATTAAACCTGTATACATCCAGTGTCTGTAAAGTCTGCAAAGCATTACCATGATGGGTTTGGAACAATGTGAGTTTAAGGTCTCAAGAAACTAGTCTAAGTCTTTTAATATTACCGTGTACTAACGATGATCCAGTGTCTTGGTAGCTGAGGCCGGGCAAATGGGAATGGAGCTTTATGATTTATTTAATGGTGAGTTAATGCATGCCATGATATAGTAGTATGAGAGTGCCTGCTGTGTTAAGACATCAGTACACTTTTGAAGATGTTAAAGAATCCTATAGACCTAGAATACAGAGAAAGTAAAATTGCTAACGACAGGCTTACCTAGTTTAGGAATGATCATGAAAGTTCAAAGGCAATACAGTCATCTGCCTTTAAGCAAACAGGATATTTAACTACTTAAGCAGTCTTCTGAGCCAATCTAGGAATTCATTTTGAATAATGTCACTTAGGTTGTCTATAAAAGCACTGACATTCCTGCATCACCCTATATGAACCAGCCTCCAGAGCTTCCTTCAAAGCTGAATGAAGCTACAAGTTCCCATTTAGTATTTGCAAAGCCTTGTATTTTGTTTGCAATTTTTATCCGCAAAAAAGTCTCCATTTATCCTAGTGAATGCAGCTTTTCATATAGTGGACCCCCCCAAATCAAGCGTGTTCTGTTTTGCAAAACCAATTCTTTGCTTTTTTTTTCCTTTTGGTCAGTTTTACTGATGGCGAGAACGTTTCCATGTACCTACAATGAGCTGTCTGGAAGTATTATGCTCTGTCATTAACACTTTCAAGATTTCAGAGCACTTGCATTACAGTGAAAAGCAGGGTGTTTCTGAATATTATGCCCCAGTTAATAAAAGAAAGAGACTCGCCTTAGAGAAGGAGAAGCAGCGGGAATTTTTCAAGTCACCAAAAGAACTGCAGTGTTACGCTTTGAATATACGGGACTGATGCTTAAAAGCTCTGAGTATTATAGATACCCCTGACTTATGCATGTGACAGTACTTTTCTGATGTATTTATTGTATAGAGAGTAGGTCTTCCAGGTAAGTTACTTCTGTAATATTTCACTGCTTTAAATAGCCAGGAAAACAGGCTACAGTCTGTATATAACCTGTCAGTGTGCAAACAGTCCTTTCTTGGGGTGTACGGATTATTCGAAAATGTCCATGACTAAACCTGGCACGTGATAAAAGTCTAGAACTTGTTTTCCTTGCTCGAGCCAACTTTACGCAAATACCAGCTGAGTGTAAAACTGTTTTCTTTTCTTAGGGAATGCAGTCGGATTTTTGGTGAAGATGGTCTGACGTTGAAACTCTTTCTTAAAAGGACTGCTCCCTTTTCTATTCTGTGGACTTTGACTAATTACCTGTATTTACTGGCTTTAAAGAAGTTGACAGCCACAGACGTCTCTGCCCTGTTCTGTTGTAACAAAGCATTTGTCTTCTTGCTTTCTTGGATTGTGCTGAAAGACAGGTTCATGGGCGTAAGGGTAATAACATATATCTATATAATTTTCAACCATCTTGAGTTTCATAATCAAACTGAAATCCATTATTTAAAGATAGCCATTATGCTGCCAATCATGTATGCATTGTGAATCATTTCTCATTAACTATGTGCTGCAAATCAAAGATTGAAGATCAAGTAGCAATTTCAGGCTCCAGGATAACAGGAGGTGAAAAGTTTAAGACAACTATGATACTCTGATGGTGAATTAGTCAACTGAGCTAAAAAAAAACTTTCAACGGCTCTGTCATGCTGTTCGGACTTGGGCGTAGAATTCGGAAGTACAATCAGTGAAGGGAAACGTGCTGTTTTACAGATTTATTTTTACATTTGTGATAATTCCCTAAGTGCTTTTCAAAATGGTTCCGCTTACATTGCTGGGTAGATAATAAATTGACCGCATTTAATATTATTCTTTTCTTTTCCCAATATACTGTATGTTCTTACTTAATAAGCTGGCATTTCCCAGTAAAAAGAGGCATTAGGTGGGACCTAAATTGGTCACAGGCCTTTTATAATAATTCTCCAGCTCAAATAACTAGGTTGCCATTTATAACTGGGGTGACTGGGGGGTATGAACCTAGAGCGAGACTTGAACTCACACTTCTGGAGGGTCTGACACAAGGGTGGGCAAAACGCGGCCCGCAGGCCAGATGTGGCCCACCCGCCCATTCTATCTGACCCGCGGGGCCCCTGAAAAATTGAGAAAATTAATATTTATCTGCCCCTGCTGCCTGTCATGCAGCCCTCGATGGCTTGCCAAAACTCAGTATGCGGCCCTCCGCCCAAAATAATTGCCCGCCCCTGGCTAGCAAGATGTCTTCACCCCTGTGCCTGCACCTGTGAGTCATCTGATTAAAGTGAAGGACTCAAATAGTAAGTCTAAGCAGGGCCAAAATAAATACAGTTGTTATCAATATTACCTGTGCCACTGAAAAAAATTAAATCAAGAAACATCAGTTGTGCCCAACCTGAGTTGAATGACTTGGCTGATTTCAGGGAAGACGGGAGAGCAGAGAGAGCAGGGTTGTGGCAGTGGGTTTGTGGAAGGGATTGCAGAGGGCAGCATGGAAAAAACCCGTCCGCAGAGATCCCTCTCCGAGCACAAAGAACAAGTGGGACTCCGTTGCAAGCCGCTTTTCGGATATGGAGGAAGGTGTGAAAGAATCGAGTTGGTGGTATGACAGTGGGGTGGAGAGTGGGCAAAGGACACGCAGACCCCTGGCTGTGCCCCTCCACCCACTTGTGTACCAGCTGTCCTCCGAGGTGGCACGGAAGAGTGAGCCAATAGTATTCCCTATGGGGTAGGCACCAGTTTACTTCTGTCCTGGCAGGGCGCTAGCTGTGCGGGTGCAACCCCAGCTCGCAAGCAGCCCACTGGATCCAGTGGTGCACAGGACGCTGGGAGCCCAGGTGTGCTTGGGGAAGCTCAGCTTCCAACGCCCCATGCACTATCCCTACCGTCTTCCCGCTGCCTAGGACTGCCTGGGAACGGGCTGGCTGTCCCGGGAAGATGGCAGGGGGCGGCAGGGATAGTGCCTCTCAAGAGTGAGACATTTTGATTCCGTTATAGTATTCGGTCAAAGGATAACTAGAAATCCTGCATTTAAAGAAATACTTTTGCAATAAAAATTTAATCGCACATGTTTTGCGGGTTGCAGCTAGTTGTAAATAACCAAGTAGCAGCTTCAGGAGACATAGGCTACAGCTAGATGGAGGGAAATTCAAAGGGAATCATTTGTGAGGCAGTTCCAGTAGTTTGCTCCTGGGGCAGCCTAGCTTCATTGTGCACGTCGGGGTAACTGCATGAAGCGGCCTCATCCAAAAATACTAGGCGCGGTTCTGGGCTCCATGCTTTACGAATGACACAGAGAAGCAAGAGAGGATCCAGGGGTAGGCAGCAGCAATGCTACTGGGGTTGCACAGCTGCACAAGGGGAGGGTGAGAGACCCAGGCATGTCTACCATGAAGAAGAGGGGAGTAAGCGGGGGAGCATGATAGCAGTCTTTGCATATTTGAAAGGCTGCTATAAAGAAGAGAGGGAATAACTGTTCTTTTTTGCAGCTGAGGGCAGGACACAAAGCAGTGGTTTGAAATTGCAGCAAGGTAGATTTGGACTAGAGCTCAGGACAAACCTCCTTACTGTTAGCAGTGTCAAGTAGTGGAGAAACAGCCCAGGGAAGTCATGACATCTCTTTTATTGGAGGCTTTCAAGAGGAGGCTGAATAAGTATTGAACAAGCATGATTTAGGAGCAGCATTCATGAAGGGGTTGGACCCTTGGCGTGCCAACGGCTCTTTGACTCTACAAGAAAACCTATTCCCCTTTCTAGTTACCGCAAAGGGCAAACACGATTGATAGATTCCCCCCAGAAGGCAGCATAAAGAAATTTCACGTGAAAATGTGTTATGGCTGGTTTTGATTTTTATAATTTATTTCATTTTACTAGGGAATAAGAAGTACAGGACCAGGGGAGGGAAGCGGTGTCAAACTTTGCTATAAATACACAGCGGTATTAATGCTATAAATGCAGTGCCATTTGCATGACAATACACGACTGAAGAAATGAATGTCAAACAATTGCACATGAAAGGAGGTGGTTTTGCCATTAACTGGTAGAAGCTGGTAGATTTCTGATGGTGCCACGCTGAAGGGGTAATTAATGCCATTTCCCAGCACCACTTCCACAAGAAGATTTTTAATGATGTTGATAATCAGGCAGGTGAATGCCTGGGAAATCGAATGTGACAGAGGACGGTGAGAAGTCCCAACACACATCCAGTCTTTTGCATTTTGGCAGTGTCTGCAGTGCTTCCACTCCCCAGACACTGTGCGAGCAGTATAATTAGGTTGTTTGAGAAATAAAGAGAGAGAAATATAAAGAACTAAAAAATTCTCAGCCTGCTTTTGCAAAATACTCTGCACCCCCAGATCAGGAGGTCTTTGCTCCCAGCAACTCTCATGAGGTTGTTCAAGAGCCTGAGGCTGCGTCTACACTGCAGTCAGAGGTTGTGACTTTGCTACACTAGGGATGTAAATATTGTTTAAAAAAATATTTGTTTAACCTCCTCTAATTATATCGGTTAAACAATTAAAGGATGACACAGCTGCTGCCCAGAGCCCTTTGTGGGAAGAGATGGGGAGGGGGCAAGCCCAGCCAGACAACACAGCCCTGGTGAAGCCCTGTGCCAGGAGGGAGGGAGCATCTGTGAAGGAGCAGCTAATTGCTTAATTGATGAGTCATTACATAGGCTGCTCTCTGTTTTCCTCTTAGGCTGTGGGTACTAGTCCTCTCCTCCTCCCCTCCTCCTCACTCCTTCTTCCTTCCTAGCCACCCTGCTGCCTTCTGATTCCTGCCAGGGCACCACACAGCTTCCTTTCCTCAGACTGCGCCCACCCAGAGCTAAAGGATAACCGGTAAGCTAACCAGTTATCACTGCACTTATCGGTTAAACATTAAATGATCGTTTAACCTTTCACATCCCTATGCTATGCCTTACACATAGCCTGGGTTAACTTCACTTAAAAAGCTAGTGTCTGAACTTTCACGCTGGATAACACATGCTAAGGGCTCTGGTATCATAGTAAAGTTATGCCTTTTCCAGGGAGGATTGTTTCCCAATTGTATTATGTAACGTGTTGGCTTATTATGGGACTGATACATGGAGATAATATGATCAATTGTGAGGCCCAGCCCCAGGACCTCATGGGTGTCTCCAACTGGGTCCCTGGGCTGAGACCTGGAAATCGGGGGGTCTTGAGCCCTCTGGTGTGTTGTCAGGGCTGAGACCTGAAAATCAGCACTTAGACACAGAACCAGTTTAAGACTCCCTGTGATCCCAGGGCTGAGAGTCTCCCATGCAGTGCTGCGATCTCTATTTCGATTGTTGTAGTAAACATTAGCATGCAACTGCTCATAGCCCTATCTAAGCAGTATTAATGCTTACTATAATTTAAATATAGCACATGTTAAAAGTAATGTATAACAAAGCCCCGTGTTGCTTAGTTGAGTTTAGCTGGACCATGTGTTGATATCAGTGAAGATGCACTGGCAGCACAAGTTAGCTACATACTTAATGTCTGCAGCACTTAGGGTCAACATTAAGGGTGCCCGCAAGCCAGTACCTACCAACCACCTACCCTAGTTGTAGCCCAGCCTGACTCTAGAGACTGCTGAACTTCAGAGGAATCGGTACTGCCTGACCAGACTCCTACCCTACCCTACCCTATCCCTCCTTTCAATGTATTTGGCACTTCCTTGGCCATTTGAGCACAGGAGATCTACTAGGAGCAATCCCACAACTTCCTGTTTCTGATTTCTAGCCCTCTGCATCGTCCTTCCTGTTACTACTGCCCATTAGTAAAGCCATGTGCAGGAGAGAATTAGTCAGCCAATAGGTGAATTGAAAAGCTCCACTCAAAGAACAGGAAACAATGTGGATAGCTTTTTGTAGGCCACAAAGTAACAGAAATAGGGAGTGGGTTGTTTATGTGGCTCAGGCTGGTGAAGGAGATCCTAAATATTAGTGGGTGCATCTACATGTGCAGTTAATTCAAAGTAATAAACTCCAGAGCAGTTTGAGCATGAATAAAGTACTCCTGGGTGAGATATCTACACGTGCACTGGGACAGCAGCAATTTGAGCTGGGGCAGAGCAGTTTACGCTAGGGCTGCTCAGCCCTGGACTCTGGGCAGCGGTGTTGGGTGGTGGAGGAGCTGGCTGGGGCACAAGAGTACTGAAAGTGCGGAGCTGTGTGTATAGGCAGTGGGCAGGAGTCTGGCTCCTGGCAGGTTAGGCTGATTGGGCACAATCATAGGTGACGTGCAGAGGGAGACATGGGGGGGCATGTGACACCCGCTGAGATTGGCGGCTGCTGAAGGTGCTGCTGGCTTCTGTGGGCGGTCACCTCCTGCACCCGCCCCCTTCGTCGCCGACATTGTCCGTTGTGGATGCGGGTGGTCACCACTTGCTCCTTGCCCTCCTCCCCACTGCTAACACTGCTGGCAGTGGCTGTGGGCGGTCCCCGCTCGCTGCCATGGTGCCTCCCCAGTTGCGAGAGGCACCAGTCATTGATGGGCACAATTTATGCCCGTGGTCAGCATCTACACATACCTTTAATCTTAGTAAATTACCCTGGCATAAGATAGTACTGTCCCCGACTACTATCTTACTGCAGCATTCATTGGATTACTGCAGCATAATACTGTCACCCGTGTAGATGGTGACACTTTACTCCACAGTTGATTAGGCTACTCCACAGTTAAGTGCCTGTGTAGACACGCCCAGTGTTGAAGTATTCTAAATACCCATGGCTTTGGGCAGCCTATGTTGAAGCCTGTGATGCTGTGTCTATTCTGCTATCGTACTCAATGTAGGTAGATTAAAACTATCTTAA